TGAAGTTAGTATATTTGTGTGTACATGTATAATAATTGTACATGGTTTAGAATGGAATTTAACATTGAGCAGAAGTTTATACATAACATTCGTGTAGAGGTGTAAGTCAGCTGAGGCAAGTTTATTATTGCTTATTCTGTATTGGTATAATTTCTAAACAAGCTAAGTGTTCGATCAAGGATGTATCTTTATCACAATATGAATCGAGCTCAAGAAAGGTTTTTTTTTTCAGTTGATCATTAGTACTGACTGGAGTATTCCAACCTTCACCATGAGTGACTCGTATATATCCGTTTTTCAAGTATGATTGTTATTGCTTGTGTTGACTGATGTAGCTGAAATAAAAAAACAAGGCATTTGAACAAAAGTCTAACGTAATATGTAAAATATGAGTCCAATGCCCTAATCCTATGCACCATCCTGTTCAAACAACAATCGTGATTTATTGTGAGCATTGAAGTTAACTTTTTCCCCCTTTTGTTTGCTATTTTGTATTCAATTCATTTATGTGTCCGTATCATCACTTTGATTTCACAGCGTTTTCTTTTGGCAATTTGCTATCTTTTTATGGCATTGGTCATTAGGTGACAGATTCTCCCTTGATAAGTTATGGTAGTGCTCATTAATACAAAACATGAGCCCAAAAGGTATAAAATTTCTTCTCATTTAGACACCAAAATAGATAGAGTATTAAGATATGCTATGGAACGAGGCATTTTATTCTATCCCTACAGTTATGTCTTTAACTCTTTTCCCCCTTATTAGATTGTCTCTACCATTATCAGCTTCCTTTTTTTATTGGTTAAGATGTGTGTTTACAGTTTCACCCATATTTGTTTCAATTATCGTACATGTAATACCTTGAAAACATGTGAGCTAAGTGTTCGCAAAATGATGTATCTTTTTCATAATATGACACAACCTCAAGCAAGGTTTAATCCAGTTGATCATTAGTACAGAGTGATATATGCCAACCTTCATGAGAGTCGAGAGACTCATGTATTCCTTTTTCAAGTATATGATTGTTCTTGCACTTGTGTTGACAAAGATAACTGAAACAAAACTTCAAGGCATTTGAACGATGTCATAGCAGTAAGAGGTATATATGACTCCAATGTCCTAATCCAGTGCACCATCTCTGTTTAAACAACATCCGTTATTCATTGCAAGCACTGAAATTAACTCCTTTTCTCCTTTTTGTTTGCTGTTTTGCATTTGATTCATTTATATTTTTTTATCGTCAGTTTGGATGTCACAGTGTTTTCTTTTGGCAATTAGCGATCTTGTTATTGCATTGGTTTTTAGATGACAGACTATCCCTTGATTATTTATGGTAATGCACATAAACACAAAATATGAGCCCAAAAAGTATCTCTTGATTGTTAAGGAGGTATGTTATGGAAACCAGTGGCGGAGCCAGAAAATTTAATAAGGGGGTTCAAAATCTAAAAAGTAAGCACACAAACTAGTGGAAGGGGGTTCGACATCTATTATACATACCTAAAAAATAATTTTAACCATGTAAAAATAGTAATATTTTTCGCCGAGGGGGGTCGGATGACCCCCCTCATTACATGCTGCCTCCGCCACTGATGGAAACGAGGTATTTTATTCTATCTGAACAGTTATGTCTTAAAATCTTTGTGGTAACTTTGTTATTAGCATTTTCAGCTTCCTTTTTTCACTTTTTGAAGTCAATAAAAGATCATATAATAAAGTGGCGGGTTAGATAGTAAGAGCAACTAGATCAGTAATGGAAAGGGTACTAAGCCTGTGTTTGAGCTCTATGCCTTTGCCTTAGCGCGTCTTGGATGGATCAATGGCAGGGGACCCCTGACAATTAGTTCTAAGGATCGGGGTTAGAAGGGTCCGTCACGCTTTGGACATCGCCACCGGGATCGTTGAGGCCCCACAATTAACATCACTACGGTCGGGCTATCGAACACGGGGTCAGAAGTGAATTACGAGTCGGACCAATCTGCGAATCGAGCGAGCTCCCCTTGCCTTCTTTTGGTTGAGATGTGTTTGATAGCTCCACCCCTGTTTGTTTCAATGCCCAAGGGTGATCCCGAAGAGAAACTATTTTTTACAATCTCTTCTTCTCAAAAGATTTAGTGCTTAGAAAGACTCCGACACTATTATGAGGTGACATAGTTTGACAGAGCAAAACTCAGCTAGACTGTCTGGTGTTGATCTTACTTTGTATGTTATATCAATGAAAAATGAGAAAACATTGTTTATGGATCTTATGTAACTAACTGTCCATAAGCGATATTTGTTTCCCGTTTCCTTTAGCTGTGCATCCCTTTGATGTTGCACTGGTCAATTCAGATCAATTACGTATCACTGCAGCTCCAGTCTTTCTTATTGCTGGTTATCTGTCTTTTTGATTGGGGAAGAAGTACATGTACAAAAAGGAAGAAAGATGAGAAACTGGGTTTGTGAGAATCTAAACCTCAACCATGAATAGATTAGTTGTTTACAGAGTAAACCTTTCTGATGGATCCAAGATGTCGATAGCTTTTTCACATGAGAGTATTCCCAACTCTTTCTGGGCATATTGTATGTGTCAATTGCATTTAGCTAATTAGCCCGTAGAGATTGAGGTTCCATAAACGGTACTTCCTGATACTGTTCTAATTCAGTACTGTTTGGTCATGTCTATGCTCATTGTTCAGTATACGCCGACTCTCTGAATAATTTTTACAGTATCAAGTGTTTTGATGGGTTATAACAGGTTATATAGAGACAAAACACTAGCTAATTTCTTCCTTTCTGTTCAAGCATTGGTGGATAGAGCTACCTAGTATATGTTGCTTATTTTCTGTTGAATTAATTGAAATACACGGAACTTTCATAACCTTGTTCTTGTTTTTGTTCATACTAAGATCTGCAGGAATAACAAATCTAAGTTTGATTACTATTAGTTTATAATTTTATATAGTTAGTGATAAGGGTAATATGGATAGAAAATAATAATTTCCTCTTGATTTGCTTAAATAAACAATTTTTAGAAAGAAAAATATAATGATATAGGAAATATGTATAGCTTATTTTACACCACAAGTTCAAGTCTTTCTTTTATTTTTAAGTTTTATGTCCAATCAAATACTTTTACTTAAATTGAGACGGAGAGCATATTAAACTAATGAAAAGGCTTGGGGACCACAAATCTCACGTAACATAGCATTCTGATACACATGTGACATAAGTAACAGAAAGATTCAATTATAGAAATATTCAACATTTTTACAGTATAATAATAATATATCAACTCTAAAGTCTTGGTAAAAAATATATTTGACACGACGCTAGAGTTTTTTTTAGATCGTGAGCACCAAACTTAATACGAGGAGGCTGAAAATACAATAAAGTCTTATTGGAATAAATATATGTCTGCCACTTGCACATCGCATAATACATACGTAATTGCTTGCGTTTTTGCTCCATATATTTTTTTTTCTATTTTTCACAGGATTAATTACCATATTACTTTATTGAATTATTATTCATTCAAAAACATTAAAGAAACTAACTTCTTGTAATTTTAATCATTAGAGCCATTTTTCTTAAGATATTTAAGAATATATAAAATTTGTAATAAAAAGAAAAACGTCTTTTAGTTCTCAAATAATAGACATATCATAAAATATAACACAAGGAATTCAATGTTTGAAAAGTCTAATTGTACTTTTGAATATTTTAATGTCCTAACATAACAAGCTAGAAAAAGGAAACACAAACATTTCCCTAGGAACATCTATATTGAGAGTTGACACCATTAGGATAATTTTGGGCGATTAAAAAAGCGGGTTGAGCTGAATATGATAATATCAAAATAGATTGAATTAATAAAATAAGTGGACAATTAATTCGTTTAAATATTTCTTGATTTGAAGCAAATTAGATTAAAATGAGTTAAAAATCAGGTCATAACCCAATTTGATCAATTCTTACCAATATTTTATTTGAGTACTTAATAATTTTTTTTAATATTATGACTATATAAAATATATCAAATAAAATTCCAAAGTATTATTAAAATAAGCAAGTTAAACTCTGTTTAATAAACGAGTTGGACAGATGACAATTTTATAGGTCGATTTTGACACCTAAGATAATTCTTTCGTCTTAAACTCTCCTTAAAATGCAATTTGTAAGCATCACCAATACAGTTTGTAATTTATTACCGGCCATTTTATGTAATTATATAATTTGAAGTGGAAACTAGTAAAGAAACTATAGACTGAATCCTCTCCACTTTAATATCGACAATTTGCACATCACATCATACGAAGTTGTTTTTCTTCTTCTTTTGTGTGATGCACATGGGAAGCTTCACTATTTTGGATTTGCACCGAGTACGAAGTTGTTTATTTATGTATTTTAATATTTAAAATAATTTTTTTACATGGATACGCTAAAAATTTAGGTGAGATTTTGTAATATTTTATATAATTTTTGAATTTAATAGAGCAAAATTCAGGAGTGTTCTCTTCTAAGTTACTTACCAAGTCAAAAGTATATAAACAAATTGAAAGAGATATATATATATATATATATATAAATAAATACCCACCCATCTTTTTAGTTTTTTTCATATGAGTTTTTGCTGAATTCCCTGGATAAGGAAGGTAGCAACTGTGAAAGTATATCCCCAGAGGTATTGTTATGTTTGAAGATGTAGCAAAAAGATGAAGTTGCTTTTAACATTATCTTTGTTTATTATTCATGTAACAGGTGTGTGGTTATCTCAAATTGTTATCAAAGTAGGACCACAGTGTGTACAGTTAAATTTTGAACAAAAAAAAAATTGCTTCTTGAATTTCTAGTTCCAGATAATTTTGTTGTGGTATCATTATCACGGTGTCAAAGTTCGAATAGGTCTTTTTCTTGTATGGTTTATATGCATATCAAATTCTATATCTGGATCATCATACGCTGTGGTTTCACTTCCATGATCGAGAGTTTAGTAGGTTACATAGGTACTCTTCTTCATATTATTAAGCTCTTTTATCCTGTTGCAGTAAGTCAGTAAGGAAATATGGAAGAGAAGGATGATATAGCGAAGGATGTCACAGAAGTAGTTCCCTTGCTGAGATCTTTCTTGCTACTCTTTACGTCTATTTTTAGCATCAATAATCTCATTTTGTTGTCTTCACTATGTAGCTTATTGGGAACACCCCTATGGTATATCTCAACAAAACCGTCAAAGGTTGTGCTGCCCAAATCGCAGCCAAATTGGAGACAATGGAACCATGCGCGAGTGTCAAAGACAGGTGTTTATCCCTCAATCCCCTGATTCAGTTTCTTCTTGGGACTTATCTTTCTTCCTGTTTCTAGTGTGTACATCATTCTTATCTAAGTTTGGAAAATCTTGAATTTATGGATTTTTTCACATCTGCTACTTATGATATGTAGGATTGCATATAGTATGATCAAAGATGCCGAAGATAAGGGCCTGATAACCCCTGGAAAGGTTGGTGAAATTCATCTGAGAATCTGTATTAGGAGGAAAAAGTAGCAGCTTCAAGAGATGTTGCATTATATTATTACCAAGTACTTTTTCATAAACTTTTATGTGATGATAAAATAGTCTTAACATAATTTTTCATGTATGCCCGTTTCTCTTAATACCAGTTTATTCGAAATTTTGTCCTAAGAGAGATGGAAACTTTTACTTTTAGTTCCCTGTGCTCTGAATGATTATTTGCCTGAAAGGCTGAACCGAAATGATATTTTCTTGTTTTTTGAACTGTGGAAATTATGGCCTGAAGTCTATCCTCCTTGAGGTAACCAGTGGTAATACTGGCATTGGTCTGGCATTTGTAGCTGCAGCTCGTGGCTACAAACTCGTGATAGTGATGCCATCATCGTATAGTCTTGAGAGAAGGATTGTTCTAAAAGCTTTGGGGGCTGAGTTATACATCACAGATCCAGCAAAAGGTTTAGATGGTCTGCTTCAGAAGGCCCAAGAGATTCTAGATAGGACGCCAAACAGTCATTTTTTTCGTCAGTTTGAGAATCCTGCCAATCCAAAGGTGCCTCCTTTACAAATAATTTGTTCATTTGCTATAAAAAAACATCATACTTATCAAGTATCAATTTACAGATCCACTATGAAACAACTGGACCAGAAATATGGAATTGCACAGGAGGAAAAGTTGATATTTTTATTGCAGGGATTGGGACTGGAGGCACGGTGACGGGAGCAGGAAGGTTCCTTAAGGAGAAGAATCCAGAAATAAAGGTATATGGTATAGAACCAGCTGAAAATGCAATTCTTAACGGAGGAAAACTAGGTCAGTCAAGTTTCCATTTTTCTGTGTCTTCTCAGAATATCCAAATCTATATAGAAACTAATATGTCATTGCATCATTTCTATACTCTCATTGAATTAAGAGTTTTGCCAGCTCATTTCTCACACAATGTGTTTTCATCTCTGCTTCTATCAACTGTTATTTATCATATACTGATATGTGTGTAATTAAATGTTAAAGGGCCGCATAAAATCCAAGGAATTGGTGCTGGTTTCATCCCAGCCGTCCTCGATCAAAGCATCCTAGATGGAGTTCTTCAAGTAAGGCTGTATACCATATAAGTAGCTCTCAGATTCTACCAACATTTAAATTTCTGCTCAATGTGAGTGAGATTTTGCTATAAAAACCTGAATATCTTACAAATTACTCTAACCAGGTGATGAATCTGCTATACTCTGACTGACAATTTCAATTCGGTTAATATAAAACTAACGCATTCACGACTGACAGAAGCAGAGAAATGAAGTATGCGAACATAGACTAGATTGCTATGTAGGGTAAAGTTAGATATATCCTTTTGTTGACAGAATTATCTGAATCTCCAGAATAATCGCGACTATTCAATGTAAAAGTTTCCAGCTTACTCTATCTCTGAAACATATCCATCTGATTTGGTTCATTAACAGATCAAAGTAAATTCATTATAGGTTTTCTTATTTTCCATGTTTGGTTGGTCGAAATTTTTGGTAAACATTATGTTTAGGAAAACAAGTTGCTTGAAATAAGGAGAACGACTTTCCTAATGGAATTAGGAAAAACAAGTTTTACAAGTGGTATTCTATATTGAGTGTGCCCTGTCCTCCCCACGCTCCCACACACCTCATCTTCACCCCTACCTCCATAGCCCCCAGCCTCACCGCCCATAGTATTTGACTTAGATTATATACCAGTGGTATAAGGATAGTATTTTTTGCGTACATACCGAGCACAAGAAAATTAGTAATAAACCACTTATTTTCCTTCCTTTATACCGAACACACCATTAATGTCCTCTCATATGTTTCTAATGCTGTTGATTTTTTGGTTCACTGGCTATATTTCCTGGTATGATGACAGCTTCTGTTTTTGTTTATGTTCAGGTATCTAGTGATGAAGCTATTGAAATGACAAAGCTTCTTGCATTGAAAGAAGGCCTACTGGTAATTTCACCTGTCAATAAAGATCACTTCTGAGTCCACAGATTGTCTGTCCTCTGCTTCATTTGTGATGTCCGTTCTGATATCATCATGACTATACCGCCTTTTTCTCCTCGGATATTTTCAGGTAGGAATATCATCAGGTGCTGCAGCTGCTGCAGCTGCTGCAGCTGCTGCAGCAATACAAGTAGCAAAAAAGCCCGAAAATGCTGGGAAACTTATTGCAGTAAGTTAGATCTACTTCATTAAGCTTATTGATATCTACTTCATCTCATTATCAGTTGTTTAACTTGGGAATCCTTGATAAGCTCATGGGCCTAAAATTCTCTTTCAATTTTCTGTGCAGGTCATCTTCCCTAGTTTTGGGGAGCGTTATCTTTCCACTGTGCTGTTTGATTCTATTAGAGAAGAGGTGGTGAACATGACTTTTGAGTAACTAACTTTATGCTTCTTTGAACTGAGGGATACATGTTACTCCTATTTGTTGTAACTTGAGGTAGAATAGGAAAGATGCACTCGAAGTGTAACCTCCTAATAAATCAGTGAACTATTATTCACAATACAAACAATTGTATCATTTGAATGGTGTAACCACTGTTTCTATTTAGCCCTTCGTTCAGCCAACAAACAAGTACGATTTTTCAATGGCATAGTTAATGGAGAAAGGCTTCCATCATGAAGCATCATCAAACAAGCGTAATGTCACGATTTTTAAATTGTTTTAAAAAAAATCTCACTTCTTTGTCAACTCGACTATTGCCTAACCATAATCCCTATATTAATTTCAGAATGGTCCACATATAAATATTACAATGTCTACGATTTATAGTATTTGGTCTAAAACTAAGGAAGTACTTGACTTAAAAACTAAAGATCAAATAGTGCTTTTTAAAAATGAAATTAGTTGATTAGAAAGATAGTGCTTTTTAAAAATGAAATTAGTTGATTAGAAAGGATACTTAAAATACATCACGTACGTAATAAGATTTAACAAAAGATATGTAATATGTATTGAAAGATATTTGAATTGAAATGATCATCACACTACTAGTAATATGGAAAACATGCAAATTACATCATAAGCTGTGATTTTTTACTAGTAATATGGAAAACATGCAAATTACATCATAAGCTATGATTTTTTATTCTCTTGAGGAAGGAGGTTTTCAACAGTAATACTTGTGTTATTTTCTTTACTGCTTTCAGTTACGAGTAACGAATCTGATTCCTGAACTCGAGTAGTTGATTCATTTCTTCTTCATTCTTGTTCTCCTCTTTAAGATACCTGGTCAGCTTCTTCTTCATTTATGTTGGTTAAAATCATATTTTTCTTTTAACTTCTCGTCCTATTCATACTTTTGTATAATCTGTGAATTCTGTTGAGGTTTCACTTCCAAGAGAGTGTTACAGTTCGAGTCGGATTTATTCTTGTATGATTGCTATAGATATATAGCACATTCCTTAATTATCTGGATTGTCATACATTCTGGTTTCACTTCCATGATTGAGAGTATAGTAGGTCTCTTCTTCCTATTATTAAATATGTTTAGCTCTTGTTTCTTGTTGCAGTAAGTCAGCAAGACAATATGGAAGCGAAGAGTACTCATGAGATCGCGAAAGATGTCACAGATGTAGTTTCCTTTCTGAAATCTTAATTTCTTGGTACGATCTTTACATATTCCTATTTCAGCATCGAATCATCTCATTTTGTTGTCTTCACAATGTAGCTTATTGGAAACACCCCTATGGTATATCTCAACAAAATAGTTGAAGGTTGTGCTGCCCAAATTGCAGCCAAATTAGAGTATATGCAACCATCTGCAAGTGTCAAAGACAGGTGTTTAACCTTCAATCCCCTCATCCAGTTTATACATCATTCCTATTGAAAATCTTGAATTTACGGAATTTTTCACATCTGTTACTGATTTGTAGGATTGCATATAGTATGATCAAAGATGCAGAAGATAAGGGCCTAATTACTCCTGGAAAGGTTTGTGAAATTGGTTTCGAGAATACTTATTAACAGCTTGAAAAGATGTTATATGACTCTCAAGTGTGATGATAAAACTAGGATTAACATAACTTTTCATGTTATTTGAATTCTGTCCTATTGTCTGAAACTGCTGAACTGAAATGATTTCCTTGTATTTTCAAATGTTGAATTAATGACGGCCGAAAGAGTGTCCTTCTTGATGTAACCAGTGGTAATACCGGCATTGGGCTTGCATTTATAGCTGCAGCTCGTGGCTACAAACTCATGATAGTGATGCCATCATCTTATAGTCTTGAGAGAAGGATTGTTCTTAAAGCTTTGGGGGCTGAGTTATACATTACAGATCCAGCCAAAGGTTCTGATGGTGTGCTTCAGAAGGTTCAAGAAATACTAGATAGGACCCCAAACTGTCATTTTCTTCATCAGTTTGAGAATCTTGCCAATCCAAAGGTGTCTCCAATACAAATAATTTGCTACAAAAGCGTCTGTCATACTTATCAAGTATGAATGTACAGATCCATTATGAAACAACTGGACCAGAAATATGGAAGAGCACACGAGGAAAAGTTGATATTTTCATTGCAGGGATTGGGACTGGAGGCACCGTGACGGGAGCAGGAAGAAGAATCCAGAAATAAAGGTATATGGTATAGAACCACACTGTATCTCCAATTCTAATTCCTAATTGCTAACCACACATAGTGTAGCAATCATTACCTATCAACTTTTCATCAAAGCTAGTCACACAATTTTCCCAGGACCCACGTTGAACAACTACCAATTTCCATTCACCTTATCCTTCCATTTATAACAAATATTTTGTCTTTTCTCTTTTTCAATGTTCAACAATACACATCAAATTATCTCTAATCAAATCACTCAACCAATATATTGAAATTTGATTCATAATACAATAATAAAAAAAATAAACTTACAATCAGTACCGCACAACCTAATCAACTTACAGTGACATACTGTATATGCCATTCTTAATTCCTAATGATTAATTCAAAAAAAAGTGATCATTGCCCAATGATATTATGTAATATTTTATATAAATTTTGAATTTTATAGAGCAAGATTCAAGAGTGTTCTCTGAGTTACTTACCAAGTCAAAAGTATATAAACAAATTGAAAGAGATATATATATAAATACCCACCCATCTTTTTAGTCTTTTTCATATGAGTTTTTACTGAATCCCCTGGATAAGGAAGCCAGCAACTGTGAAAATATCACCAGAGGTATTGTTTTCTCTTCCCAAAACCAGAAAGAAAAGATACTGTTGGAGTTAACATTTGTGATTTCTTCAAGTTAATTGTATTCTGTACATGTCTAGTTTTGGGATTTATTGTTTCTGGCCACTCCCTTCTGTTGTTGTTCTTAAGAAAGGTTCAAAAACTTAGCACTTAAACAAACATCACTTTAATTAATATAGGGGGACACTTTAATTTATCTATTTTTTCAATTAGTAGACTCTTTTGGTATTTGAAAATAGAATGAAGAATTAATTCCACAGGATACCTGCCACCCCACCTCCCACCCACCAACAACTGGTACTGAATAATTTTATCTACCAAGGCTAGGATAGATGTGAAGAATCACCTAGTGTATCTTATCTCAGCTAAGTTTTGAACCATTACTCACCAACAAGGATTATGGTGGATAAATAAAATTCCTCTATTCTTAACCAGAGTCTGGTATCAAGTTCGGGACCTATATATGAAAAAACCCTATTAGGGAGCACTTTCCCCTTAAATAGTGACTTTTGCGACGGGAGTCTGAATTAATCAGGATTTTAATGTAAGTATTTAACCGGGTTTTCATTTCACTCTATTTTGAAAGAAAGCTAATGTGGGATTGTTATGTTTGAAGATGTAGCAAAAAGATGATGTTCCTTTTAACATTATCTTTCTTTATTATTCATGTAAAAGGTGTTTAGTAATCTCAAATTGTTATCAAAATAGAACCACAATGTGTACAGCTAAATTTTGAACAAAAAAAAAATTGCTTCTTGAATTTCTAGTTCCAGATAATTGTAACTTATTTCAACCTATTCCTACTTTAGTATGACTTGTAAAGTTGTCAACCTATTCCTCCTTTTGTATAACTTCTAAAGTAGATGATTTTGTTGTGGTATCATTATCACGGTGTCAAAGTTCGAATAGGTCTTTTTCTTGTATGGTTTATATGCATATCAAATTCTATATCTGGATCATCATACGTTGTGGTTTCACTTCCATGATCGAGAGTTTAGTAGGTTACATAGGTACTCTTCTTCATATTATTAAGCTCTTTTATCCTGTTGCAGTAAGTCAGTAAGGAAATATGGAAGAGAAGGATGATATAGCGAAGGATGTCACAGAAGTAGTTCCCTTGCTGAGATCTTCCTTGGTACTTTTTACGTCTTTTTTTTTTTAGCATCAATGATCTCATTTTGTTGTCTTCACTATGTAGCTTATTGGGAACACCCCTATGGTATATCTCAACAAAACCGTTGAAGGCTGTGCTGCTCAAATCGCAGCCAAATTAGAGACAATGGAACCTTGCGCGAGTATCAAAGACAGGTGTTTAGCCCTCAATCCCCTGATTCAGTTTCTTCTTGGGACTTATCTTTCTTCCTGTTTCTACTGTGTACATCATTCTTATCTAAATTTGGAAAATCTTGAATTTATGGTTTTTTTCACATCTGCTACTTATGATATGTAGGATTGCATATAGTATGATCAAAGATGCCGAAGATAAGGGCCTGATAACCCCTGGAAAGGTTGGTGAAATTCATCTGAGAATCTGTATTAGGAGGAAAAAGTAGCAGCTTCAAGAGATGTTACATTATATTATTACCAAGTACTTTTTCATAAACTTTTATGTGATGATAAAATAGTCTTAACATAATTTTTCATGTATGCCCGTTTCTCTTAATACCAGTTTATTCGAAATTTTGTCCTAAGAGAGATGGAAACTTTTACTTTTAGTTCCCTTAGCTCTGAATGATTATTTGCCTGAAAGGTTGAACTGAAATGATATTTCCTTGTTTTTTGAACTGTGGAAATAATGGCTGTTGAAGTCTGTCCTCCTTGAGGTAACCGGTGGTAATACCGGCATTGGTCTGGCATTTGTAGCTGCAGCTCGTGGCTACAAACTCGTGATACTGATGCCATCATCGTATAGTCTTGAGAGAAGGATTGTTCTTAAAGCTTTGGGGGCTGAGTTATACATCACAGATCCAGCCAAAGGTTTAGATGGTCTGCTTCAGAAGGCCCAAGATATTCTAGATAGGACGCCAAACTGTCATTTTCTTCATCAGTTTGAGAATCTTGCCAATCCAAAGGTGTCTCCAATACAAATAATTTGTTCATTAATTTGCTATAAAAACGTCGTCATACTTATCAAGTATGAATGTACAGATCCACTATGAAACAACTGGACCAGAAATATGGAAGAGCACAGGAGGAAAAGTTGATATTTTTATTGCAGGGATTGGGACTGGAGGCACGGTGACGGGAGCAGGAAGGTTCCTTAAGGAGAAGAATCCAGAAATAAAGGTATATGGTATAGAACCAGCTGAAAATGCAATTCTAAACGGAGGACAACTAGGTCAGTCAAGTTTCTATCTTTCTGTGTCTTCTCAGAATCTCCAAATCAATATAGAAACTAATATGTCATTGCATCATTTCTATACTCTCATTGAATTAAGAGTTTTGCCATCTTATTTCTCACCCAATATATTTTCATCTCTGTTTCTGTGAACTATTATTTATCATATAATACTGATATGTGTGTAATTAAATGTATTACTGTTAAAGGGCCGCATAAAATTCAAGGAATTGGTGCTGGTTTCATCTCAGCCGTCCTCGATCAAAGCATCCTGGATGGAGTTCTTCAAGTAAGGCTGTATACCATATAAGTAGCTCTCAGATTCTACCAACATTTAAATTTCCGCTCAATGTGAGTGAGATTTTGCTATAAAAACCTGAATATCTTACAAATGACTCTAACCAGGTGATGAATCTGCTATACTCTGACTGACAATTTCAATTCGGTTAATATAAAACTAACGCATTCACGACTCACAGAAGCAGAGATATGAAGTATGCGAACATAGACTAGATTGCTTTGTAGGCTAGATATATCCTTTTGTTGACAGAATTATCTGAATCTCCAGAATAATCGTGACTTTTCAATGTAAAAGTTTCCAGCTTACTCTATCTCTGAAACATATCCATCTGATTTAGTTTATTAACAGATCAAAGTAAATTCATTATAGGTTTTCTTATTTTCCATGTTTGGTTGGTCGAAATTTTTGGTAAACATTTTGTTTAGGAAAACAAGTTGCTTAAAAATAAGGAGAACGACTTTCCTAATGGAATTAGGGAAAACAAGTTTCACAAGTGGTATTCTATATTGAGTGTGTCCTATCCTCCCCACGCTCCAACACACCTCATCTTCACCCCAACCTCCATATCCCCCAGCCTCACCACCCCACACTATTACCTGTCCCACTGCCCATAGTATTTGACTTAGATTATATACAAATGGTTTTAGGATAGTATACATACCGAGCATAAGAAAATTAGTAAGAAACCACTTATTTTCCTTCCTTTATACCGAACACACCCTTAACGTCCTCTTGTATGTTTCTAAAGCTGTTGATTTTTTGGTTCACTGGCTATATTTCCTGGTATGATGACAGCTTCTGCTTTTATTTATGTTCAGGTATCTAGTGATGAAGCTATTGAAATGACAAAGCTTCTTGCATTGAAAGAAGGCCTGCTGGTAAGTTCACCCGTCAATAAAGATCACTTCTGTGTCCTCTGCTTCATTTGTGATGTCCGTTCTGATATCATTACGATTATATGTCCTTTTTCTCCTGGAATATTTTCAGGTAGGAATATCATCAGGTGCTGCAGCTGCTGCAGCAATTCAAGTAGCAAAAAAGCCAGAAAATGCTGGGAAACTTATTGCGGTAAGTTAGATCTACTTCATTAAGCTTATTGATATCTATTTCATCTCTTAACTTGGGAATCCTTGATGAGTTCATGGTTCCAATTTTGCAAATGAACTTTGGCCTAAAATTCTCTGTGCAGGTCATCTTCCCTAGTTTTGGGGAGCGTTATCTTTCCACTGTGCTGTTTGATTCTATTAGAGAAGAGGTGGTGAACATGACTTTTGAGTAACTAACTTTATGCTTCTTTAAACTGAGGGATACATGTTTACTCCTATTTGTTGTAACTTGAGATGGGAAAGATCACTCAAGTGTAACCCCCTAATAAATCAGTGAACTATTATTAATTCGCAATACAAATATTTGTACCATTTGAATGGTGCAACCACTGTTTCTATATATTTAGCCCTTCGTTCAGCCAACAAACAAGTACGATTTTTCAATGGCATAGTTAATTGAGAAAGGCTTAATTCCATCATGTAGTGTCGTCAAACAAACGTATTATTCTTTCTATCGTTTGCATATATAATTGGGCTCTTAAGCAGTTTAAGGTATGTAATGTCAACGATTTTGAAATTGTTCTAAAAAAAACTCACTTTTTTGTCAACTGGACTATAGCCTAACCATAATCCTTATATTTCAGAATGGTCCACATATAAATATTACAATGTCTATATTTATAGTGTTTGGTCTAA